TTGTGGCACCAGAGCTCTCTGACAGAGAAGGCTCAATATCTCAAAAACTACAGAATTCCCTAGCATTGAGCCATGGTAGTTAAAGCGGTCTCAAACTGGATTATTTCTGCAGTGTGTTTTGGACCTAGGCAGAACAGTGGAGGACAGGGAGTCTTGGAGATGTCTCATCCACAGAGTCTCTATAGGTCGAGATCAACTCCACAGCAACAAAAAAGGCCAAGACCTGTCCTCAAACAATCCCCTTTCTACAACACAGATAGGGCAAGAAGTTTGGGGTCTTGCAGAACTGAACATGCAGAAAGAGAAGTTTGCATTCAACACAAGAGAAGTTCCTGCATGGCAGGGGGTTGGACTGGATGGCCCTTGTGGTCTCTTCCAACTCTATGATTCTATGATTCTATGACACATTCTAGAAGTCATTCTAAAGTCCAGCCGTTTGTTCATTCATTAACAAAAGCTCCAAAATACTTTTAGCGGTCTGTAAACTATGCTATCTGAAAAGAGAATTCCCAGCTTCCTGGAGCGCTTTCGCATCATCTCCCATCATCAAGAGTAAAAGCTTTAACTATTTGAGCAGGGCCAAGGCCAGGCAATGATAATGAGCAAACTTTCATTCCAGACCACAAACCGCTGGGAAAATTTGCTCAAGGAAGTAAGCTCTTGGGAAACTTTAACTATACCGCCTGCACAGACCAAAGGGTTCACTTTTCTATAGTATCTCCTTATCTCAAACATTCTCACTCTGTCACAACAGAGGTACTGTTTGCTGTTGGGGATAAGGGTTACTGGGCTTTGGCAAAAGCCAGAACTAAACTCTGTACTTCTGGCTCTTCAAACAGGGCTGTGCATTAAAGCAATGCGCCAAGGGAAACCTGCCAGCACCCAAGACTTCTTCATTGGCCAGGAAAGGAAAACCACGTGGCCACAGCAACCTAAAAAAAGGGATGTCTTGGTTACAGAGCAAGATGCTTATCACCTGCCCTACTTTCTCACATGAAACAACATCCGTTTCTGGGTGCTAACGCAAGAGAAGGGAGGCACAAGGAGGTGGTTTTCAGAGCCACCCTTGGCCCCTATGGGTAATGCACACCGCTATCGTTTGTTATTGCAGAGAACAGCTGACTTACATGGGGGGGGGGTGTTATAAAAAAGAATCTTCCCAGGCTTCCAGTGTGGGCTCCTTAGAATCAAGGGGGGAAAGTCCTCAATATATTTTCATCCCCTTTCTACAAAGAGCATCAAATTCTCATGCTTCACACTAAAGATGTAGCACCAAGGCTTTGAAGGATTTAGCAGAGTGGTTAAGATTCCAGTGTGCAGCTAGAATGTCACATGAGGATTAACACAGATGCTTTTAACTTTTAAACTCAGCCTCTCTTTCTCTCTCATGCACATGTACACATAATTATCTACATCTTTCCAAGGCATAGACCTTTTCGCACATGTTGGCCCCACACAGCTTTTACCCCAGAACTAATGAAGGTCCCTTTCACCAAAATGGTGGCTGTTGCCCAGTGACTAATCTTTTTTAATGACTGAATTCAGATGGCTGCCAATGCCCGAATTTTCACATCATATGTGGTAGTTGTCTGACCCTGGAGAGCTGCCCTTCCTTTCCCAACAAGTAAGAGGAATCAGCCAACAATGAGTTATTTCTATGATTTTTGGCAAAGGGAAAATTACATTGCTGAATCTGAAATGTCACAATAATCAGACCATGAACAGAAGGTACATGGTTTGGATGAGCAATCAAGTTGTGTGCTCAAGGATGCCCAGCGAGTCCAAAAATGGTAAAGCCCAGAAAGGAAAAAAGAGAACTAAAAAGATCCAATATCAACATGAAACAGATATCCTGAAAAGTTTTATTACTGTATATACCTGCTTAAGAGAGTCAATGTGGTGTAGTGGTTTGATCACTGGACTTTGACTCTGGAGATCAGGGTTCAATTCCTTGGTTAGCCATGGAAAGTCACACAATCTCAGCCCCAGAAAATGCAGTGATAAGGTCGCCTTAGGGTTGCCATAAGCTGGAAATGACTTGAAGGCACATAACAACAATACCTGCCTAATTGCAAAGCAATCACTTTAAATTAAAAAGAACACACACACTGCCCCTACCAAAAAGGAGCCACAATGCATTATTGCTATACCTCTGGTATTTTCTGGAGGCTATACAAATGGTAGGCTAGGCCAGGCTACAGAAGAAAAAAGAAACCCGCCCTGCAGACAATCTTACATTAGCTCACCCTAGTTCTTATCTTTCTTTTTCTTGAGCACCTAATTCAACTGTTCTGAATTCCTGCAGTTGAATGACAAAGCCAACCTTCCCTCCCTACCCAACAGGTACACAATTTGTAGCTTTCTTGTCAGCCATAGAATCTAACAAAGAGGCACAATCTACTTGTTCTTAGTTTGTGCTGTGACTACAGCATCACACTGAAGTCACCACTGCAACAGGTAAGGAGAATTCAATCTCACAAGCATCCCAGGTACACTTTGAAAAATCTCTAACACTGTTCCTAAGTGCTCCTGGATGGCAGCATTTTCCCTTCCTCTGATTGCCTGATGTTCTGTTCAAATTATTTTCAGATGGAAGGATCTTACACAGAACAGGGAATTTTTTTTTTTTTTTTTTTGGAGGGGGGGGAACACTCCAGCTTTTTTACTGGCCAGGTGACTCTGGGAGTTCAAGTCCAGAAAAGCAACTTTTCTCAGCTCTGGTCTTCCAACGCTTCTCCCCACATGAGCCAGCTGACTTGCCCTGGTGGGGTCATCAGGAGACTATGGGGCTATACAGATGACCCCTAAGGGACAGCTCTGTACCGCCCCTAGGACCACTGGATTGGGGCCGTGACAACTGCATGCCGTGGCCCCGACCTGACACTTTGCCGCTCCAAAAGAGCTGGTAAATGCCACTTCTTTTTGGAGCAGTAAAAAGCCACCCTTACTGTCACCGCAGCAGCTATTCTGCGCTCCTTTGGTGCAGCATGTCTGTACGCTGCGCCATGGGAGCACCTTGACACCGCGCAGCGTGACAGCGGCGTCAGAGCGGCCGGCGTGCAGCTGGTCCGCCCCAACTCCACCCCCAGGCCAGCCCTTTTGGCTAGTCTGTACAGGCCTTATGATTTTCAGCGTGGAAAGCAATCTGCAACAAGGAACATAGTCTTCCCAATGATTGTGGAAGGATCTCCCTCAAGAAGCACAACTGGTGATCTCTTTAGTGCTCTTCAGAATATTGGGCAAAGCCCTTTTATTTAGAAAAGCTTTCACAAGCATTTTTGGTGCCCCTCTTCTGACTGGTCATGAACAAATACATTAGGTTAAAATGCCCTTACAGTGTTGTTAGAGCAGGGCATTTTTAGTTCTGAGTTAACATTGTATTGTATATGTTTTATGGTTGTAAGCCGCCCTGACTGGGTTTCCAAAGGGCGGGATATAAATAAAATTTATTATTATTATTATTATTATTATTATTATTATTACATCCTAGTTTTAATGCACAGGTTTTAAGCCATTTTGAGCATTTGGCAAAAACAAGGTAAAAAGTTTCTGAATGCACTTTTCTTTTTTTAAAAGTGCAATCAGTTCTGGAATGTTCAGCAACAGTTCAGAGATTCCCCAGGGAAGAAGCATTTTGGGTGGTGCTGGAAATACCAGGAATTGAAAGTGCATGCTTCACACCCACTTAGTTCACTGTAACACTCTGCTTTGGTCAGACCTCATTTGGAATAATCCTGTGTCCAGTTCTGGGCACCACAATTCAAGAAGGATGTTGACAAATTAGAGCATGTTCAGAGGAGGGCAACCAAAATGGTGAAAGGTCTGGAAACCATGCCCTATGAACAAAGACTTAGGGAGCTGGGTATATTTATTCTGGGGAAGAGATAGTCATATTTAAATATCTGAAAGGGTGTCACAATGAAAACGGAGCAAGCTTGTTTTCTGCTGCTCCAAAGAATAGCATAAGCGAAAAGAGGATGGTGAACAAAATAAAGAAACTCTACAATGTGTATAATCTGGAAATATATATCATATATAAGGTACCACATATCTGGATATATATATATATCACATATAAGGTACCACATATACTTGACTATTAGTCGACCTCATGTATAAGCCGAGAGCAGGTTTTGGGGCAAAATTATGGATTTTGATACAACCTGTGTATAAGTCGAGGGTGAAAGCTAGAGTTATGTAACCAAGGATGTAAAGGATGAAGGAAAGGAAAATGATGCCAAAGCACACTGCTATTTGCCCACCCAGACACTAAAAAAGGTCAGACGTAGCACTGCAGGGGAAAGAGTGGGTTCAGGGGTTCTTTTAGGTTCTCCCTGGATGGACTAAGCTCTTACCTTTTACCACTCTATTCAGAAAAGGAGATGATTCCTTTTTAAATAAGAGTTAAGGTACTTTGACCCATGGATAAGTCAACCTAGGTTTTTTGGATCTAGTTTTTGACTAAAAATTCTAGACTTATACACGAGCATAAAAAGTATATAAAATAAGCATTAATGAACTATTCATGTATTCTTCTTCATTGAACAAACTATATAAAGTTCATATGTTATAAGCAGCTTGCTGAATTGAAAAACATGGCAAAATATAATCCACACTGAGTACTGTAGGCCGTTTCAGATGAAGGCAATGACAAAACCACTTCTGAGTATCCCATACCTAAGAAAACGCTACACAATCAGATGGCTTAGAATGCAATTACCTGGAGGAGGGATTCTCAACTTACAGCCTGCTGGTGCACTAAGACTAAGTTGAGGCTCTTCTCTTAATGTTATCATTGACAAGATAGATGTAGCACCTCTGAAGTGTACTGAAATCCCCAAAAGTTTATGCTAGAAATTTTATTTTTCCAAGTCAGTCATCAAAGGTACTACTGCAATCCTTTGCATTTTTTCATGCTACAACAGACTAACACACCTATCTCTTTGAATACTACTAGAATGGAAGGCATTCATTTCATTGTTTATCTGCAGTCTTTGTACTGTAATTTTAGTAGTGTATTACTAAAGTATGATGTACCCTACCCTGAAATTCACTGTATGCTTGAAGAGAAAGAGCCGAATTTTTGTAAATAACAAAGTTTATTTAAGGGTATTTACAGAAGGAAAATTTCTCATCCACCTCTCCCTCCTCCCCAAGCAGCTCCTGTAGTCCAATTCACTTTATTGATCCTGACTCTTTGGAAACTTTTAGTGACTGCAAGATATATCATAAACTTTACTTCTGGGAATGCCAGAAGGAATTAGGATTGAAACCTTTGGTGGGTGTAAAGACTACTACCCATAGCAAGTGGATATCCTATATCAACAAGGTGTTGGACTAGGTGATCTTGAGACAATGGTGATGGTATTTTTTTGCATCCTGTTTTCCACCAAAATTAGGGCTCAAAGCAGCTTATAAATAAAAAGAACAATACAATCAAAAACATACAAATCCCTTCCAAACTCTAGGATATAAAGTAGACTACAAATTCAATAAATTAAACTACCTTCTAATAGCTAATAGAATCCCAGCAGGAATAAACTTATGGGTTCAGATCTAGTTTATTTCGCTCTGTAAAATAAATTAGAAGAGATTTCAGACATACATGAGTAAAGTAGAGGCACAAGGTAGCAGACAAAATTCAAAAACAGATTTCACAAATCCTGCAATGGCATCACGTCTGACTATCCGCAGGGATTTAGTTTTGAAGAATTATTCGTGTATCATCACTTCTTTGCTACTATTTCATATAAAGGTTAGAATCTTAAAGGAGTTGGTGTTGTACTTTTCATAGTTAAAATTAGTCATTCTGAGAATGCCAGGAAAACAGAATTCTGGAGCATGCAAAGTCATATTCAGGGGTAACTGAATTTGGTTGCACAGTGTCCTTATAAAAAATGAAAGCCATTGCCGGAGCACAGGACGCAAAAAAGCAGAGATTGTAAAAGTTCCTTTCTTGGACTACAATTAGTCACACTAGCTGAGGGAATCTAGGAGTTATAGTCCAAAAAGGTAATTTTTCCAAACTCGGGGGGGGGGGAGTTATTAAAGAAAGAGAGGAAAAAGAGTGGCTTTGATTTGGGATAATTTTGAAATGATTTTATCAAAGAAGGTAATTTCTGCAGCAATCTGTAGAGATTTGGTTACTGAGGGCTGAAAGGGACCTACAAGATGGGAGCATTTACTCCCACAAGAGATAGATCTTTATGCCACCTTAAAGTTAGTACACTTGCCAACAAAAGATAGCGTTGCAATCTGCCAATCGAATATGTCACCAAAACCATCCACCCAAGCTGCGCAGTAGCTCAAAAATCAGGCAATAGAGGGGCCAGTATGAGACGCTGGTTCCTGAAGTGAAAAATTCAAATGCCACCCCTTTCCTACTAACTGCCCAGGGATACAATCCATGCTGAGGTCCTCCTATGGTACAGAGTTGCTCCTGTGCCCCTCTTTCTCCCCCCCCCCCCCCCCCCCCCCCCGTTGCTCACAGAAATGGAACAGACCTATTCATTCTCCAGTTCCAACATCCTCTGATGGCACTGTTACCCGAGGTGGCTACCTCATCTGGTTCCTTCCAGCAAGCTGTCCTTATCTAAAATACTGCTTTGTGCCTAGATTGAATCTGGGAGAAAAATCTATAGGAAGGATGGGTAAAAAAAAAAAAAAAATACAGCCAGCTATCTGTATCCATGGATTCTGCATCCACAGATTCAACCAAGCACAATTCAAAAATATTCTCTCTCTCTCTCTCTCTCTCTCTTTCTTTCACACACACATACACACACACAAAATCCAAAAAGTAAACCTTGGTTTTGCCATTTTGTATAAGGGACACCATTGTACTACACCATTTTATACAATGGGACTTGAGCATCCATGGATTTTGGCATTCACGAAGAGTCCTGGAAACAAACCCCAATGGATACCAAGGGTCCACTGTATACTTCATTCGAGATATAAAG